ATCTATTGCTCAGAGTGATGGTGAAATAGATCGGGATATTATCAGCAGAATTCAAGTTGGATGGTTGAAGTGGAGGAATGTATCGGGCTTGTTGTATGATAGAAAAGTACCCCTCAAACTCAAGGGAAAATTCTATAAGATGGTGGTGAGGCCTGCAATGCTTTATGGTGCCGAGTTTTGGCCATTAAAAGAGAAGCATAACATTAAGTCGAGTGTGACAGAGATGAGGATGCTCAGGTGGATGAGTGGCTTCTCCCTTAGAGATAGGATACGAAATGAGCATATACATGAAAAGGTTGGAGTAGCTCCAGTAGAAGATAAGATTAGAGAGAATCGCCTTAGATGGTTTGGTCACATAAAACGGCGACCTTCTGATGACCCGGTTAGGAGATTAGAGGTATTAGATTTGACTTATGTTAAGAAAGGTAGAGGCAAACCTAAAAAAACTTGGTTAGAAAATATTAGGAATGACCTTTCTTTATTAGATTTAAACGAGAATTTGACTTTTAATAGGACACAATGGAGAAAAAGGATTCATGTAGCCGACCCCAAGTAGTGGGATAAAGGCTTGATGTTGTTGTTGTATGTATTTGTCTAGGAAATTTCTATGAAAATGATGAAAAAAGAAAAATAGGGAGCGCTGCAGCATTCAAGGCCAAATTTTGACCTCAAAAATAGATAAAACAGCACCGCAATGTTAAGTACTCAGCGTAGCAGCGCCATTGTAGTACCGCAATGCCAGATCACATTAATGATGTAAAGGAGCAGTTAATTCAATTACTCTAGTGAAACGACACATCAATTCAGTCATAGCACCGCAGCAGAGTATTTCATCAACACCGCAATGTTAGTTCATTTTAGCAGCGCCGCAGTGCTAGAGTGAGTTATTTAATTTTAATATAAATAGCATGGACGAATTATTTAACGGGACTGGTTACTTTATCATCAGTAATCAGCCTTAAGGAGAGTCCGGTAGAGAGTGAGAGGGTATGAGAGCAAATAGGAGAAGGATCAAACGGCAAAAAGAATTTGTATCTTTTATTGCAAGAAACACCAGTTCTATTTATTCTTTTAACTTCTATCTTATATTTGCTTTTATTATTGCAATGAAGTTTGTTGTGTTTATATTAATTTCAATGACAGGCTAAAAAATTTGCTAGACTTTAGATATGTTAAAACTACGTGTTTATATAGAGTAGATATCAGTGCTTTTCAATTTTAACATGTGGTTTCTAGTTCGATTAATCTTCATTTAATTAGTGTGTAAGGTTTGATATAATTAAAATATACTGTGATCCAGATCCTCGACAATGTAGTGGAATAATTAGGGGAATTTAAACGGTGTTCTTCCAAGTATAGACATATGTTGGATAGAACATTAGAATCTTTAAGGAGATAGTATAACTGTAGCGAATAAAATCTTTGATAGAAATTCTGACGAACTTGACAGAAACAAGGAATTACACATGCTCTAATTTAAATAGAAGATCAATCCTTGTATACATGAGTTCTTATCTATCATAAGTTCAAAATATTTAAATATAGAATTTCATCTTTACAAATTTTAATTATTTACTTCCATCAACACAATTCTTTAATTATTATAGTAAGATAAAGTTAGCAATCAGTAGTAACAAAGTGATTTAAGATATCATTCTAACCCTCATGGGAATGATAACCAACTCATCATATATTACTTGGCACGACATGTGCACTTGTGTAGAATTCATTATAACCCACAAATGTAGAGTGTAGTGTTGATCAAGTGTACGTACTGAGAGAATGTAAATAAGCTGAATGGTGTCATCATCCAAGAGTGTAATAGTACAAATAAGGAGAACATTTGCTACAGGTATGATAGAATCGTGTTGTGTTTTACAGGTGCATTTCATATAGTGTCTTAGGATAAGGAAGGGAAGAAAGCAAAATCATTTTAAGGTCAAGGGAGTGATGTGAGCATATGAGAAATTAGCTAGATTAGGCGAGCCAAGTAAAGCGAACCAAAATAAAAGAAAGTTTAGCACATGCAGCTATAAGTGCAATCAAGAAAGAGTGCACAAGTGCGAGTTGGTTTTTTTGTGCATAAATATCAAGGAATGGTGTATGAGTGAGTCTGACAAAGGACCAAGCACAAAACCAGATGCAGGCAAAGGGCCAAGTTCAAGTACCTAAATGTTTACATGCAAATGAATTAAAATGCGATGAAGGCCTGGTCTGGTTGGTGTAAGGGAATAGTCACAAAAGTGAAAGTAGCACTGTGATGACCTAACAACAGAGAAGGGGAAAGTGGCAGATGGCTAAGATCACCCAAGCTCTGATGCCATGATATGAGTAAATCAATGGATCATCTCATTCACTGAGCAATATTGCCTCATTATAGGCATATAAATTTTTTTTTTTTTTTTTGAAATTCAAAATTTGAATTTACATTATAGGCATATAAGATGAATGCAATAGAAAACAAAAAAGAGAAAATAAATAGAATGAGTGAAAAAATGCATAGTTTTTCAAAATTTTACATTCTCTTAATAGAATGATTTCCTAATAAACATCATATGCTGACAGATATAACTTAGTAGATGACAAATTTATTGCCTTGTAATTAATCAAATGACATTCAACACTTGCAGATAAATATCACTTTAATATGACACATATATTATAAAAAATGTCTATTAAATGATTTAATATCTAGTAAAACATTTCATAAAAATAAATCCTATGAGAGAATATGAAAACTAGATAATTCAAAAATAATATACAATACAAAATGAATGCAACAAGTGTAGGGGAACCACGCCTCTGACTTCGCTGCAATGCATATAAAATAAAGCATATTTAGGTATTTACAATCGAACAACCAAGTATTAGACTTCACATTGAGAAGACCATCGTAAAGTATATAAATCAACCGCATCATGCGATATTGAATCCACATAAAATCATCGGCAAAACAGCTGTAACATATCTCAACTGTTTTAAAATAAATTATTAAACTTATATGGAAAGGTCAGTAAAATAGGAGATAAAAGTTAAGGGACATCTACTATATATCATACTCGGGGATAAAGAAAATTTCGCATTTATAAGGATCCTCAAGCAAGATGCAACAATCATCAAATGTAGGTTGCAAGGTTTCCAACATCATGACCTGCATATTTATGAAGTTATAGCAAACACGGGGAAAAAAATCTAATCTCTGTAAATTTTCAAATCTCAAGGTGACATGTATTTATGATGCACAAAATAAAACATAAGTTTCACAGATCTTTTGCCATCAATCTAAATGTTGCAACCTTTCTCAACACAAGAACAACAACAACATCAAGCCTTTATCCCACTATGTGGGGTCAACTACATGAATCTTTTTTTTTTTCATTGCATCCTATTAAGAGTCAAATTCTCATTTAAATCTAATAAAGAAAGGTCATTTCTAATATTTTCTAACCAAGTATTTTTAGGTCTATCTCTACCTCTCTTAAAATAGTCCATATCTAATACATGTACTCTCCTAACTGAATCAACAGAAGGCCGACGTTCTATGTGTCCATACCATCTAAAGTGACTATCTCTAACATTATCGGCCACTAGAGCTACTCCAACCTTTTCACGTATATGTTCGTTTCACATCCTATCTCTAGGAGTAAAGCCACTCATCCACTTGAGCATCCTCATCTTTGCAACACTTAACTTAATTCTATGCTTCTCTTTTAATGGCCAAAACTCTACATCATAAAGTATTACAGGTCCCACCACGATCTTCTAGAATTTTCCCTTAAGTTTGAGGGGTACTTTTCTATCACACAATAGGCCCGATGCATTCCTCTACTTCAACCATCCAACTTGAATTTTACTAATAATTCCCCATCTAGTTCAGCATCACTCTGAACAATAAACCCGAGATATCTAAAACGTGTACTCTTATTAATAATTTAATCGCCCAAAGTCACAATCCCCCCCCCCACACACACATTAGATCTATTACTATTAAAATTACACTTCATGTATTCAGTTTTAGATATAATCAAAAAAAAAAAAAAAACCTTTAGACTCTAAGGTTGACCTCCATAATTCAAGTTTACCTTCAAGTCCCTCTCTAGTCTTATTAACAAGAAGAATATCATCAGTAAAAAACATACACCATGGTACATCCTCCAACAAGGCAATAAACAACTAGTAAAATCATTCATGACTAGAGCAAAAAGATATGAGTTTAAAATTGATCCTTGATGAAATCCAACTTAAATAGGAAAATACTTGGTCCAACCTCCTTGTGTCCAAACACAAACAACAAATCAAATCCTACATATATATCCTTAATGATTTGACTATGAGCATTATTAACTGCTTTCTTTTCTAAAACTCTCCATAGCACTTCTCTTGGAACTTTTTCATATGTTTTCTTTAAATCAATAAATATCATATGTAGATCCTCCTTATTCTACCTATACTTCTCCATCAAACCTCTCAAAACAAGAACAAAAAAAAAATGCTTTGTCTGAGAGAGGGAATAAAAAACAACCATTTCAGTGGTGCTTTTAAATGCAAATAATGTCAGACCACATCTCCAATAAGCAGATGTCTTTCATCTTATATGAATTCACCGTACATGAGCAATAAGAATTGACTTAAACAGCTCCAGCACCAGTATTTTCATAACTACCATTCACAAAGTCATCGTAATCAGAAAGGACTATAAGAAAGTTTCAAGAGAATCACAAATAAGGCAATTTTACATTAGTTACTGGAGAAAACATATATAATGATAGAATTAGAGAGTGGAGGAGAAATGAGAACTCATGGTAAATTTCATCATAACAAAACAACGATTAAAGTTTCTTACAGATAAATATAAAACAATTTTTTCTCTAACACTTCATGAGTCATACAAATTCAAAGAGGATAATAACCTCTATAAGAAGTTATAATCATAAAATGATGAACAAATATTAAATGATATATTAAGTTCACAAGAAAAGATGTAAGATGTTGAGGCATACCACAAAACATCTCCATTTTGATCCAGGCCATCGAATGGGATCCAAGTCACCTACTCCAGTTATCAATCCCGAAAACCTAAAGAAGAAAATGAAAATTAAGAAAAAATGTAAGACAAATCCCCTCCCAATCAGACAAATAGACATGGGAAAATGGACATGGACGAAAGGCTTGTAACCTTCTCTCCGCTGCATCTTCACTTTCAAAACGCATTTTAAACCTGGTCCCAACCGAAAAAGAATAATCACAGCTCTTAGTGAACTTCCAATATGGGACAATGAACTCTGATTGATTTACCCTAAAGAAACAAGTAAATAAACACATTGTAAGCACTCTGTTTACTAAAAGCTAAAGAAAATACGATTAATACTCAAGAAATTAGACCTTCCATTAAATAACATCATACAGATTCCATATAAATGAAATATAACAGTTTGAATCAGCATAACTAATGAATATTAAGTTTATAGGCACGACACTGTGAATTTGAGATGTTTCATAGCATTTTTCATTTGCTAATAACAAATGAATAAATGGTGAATATTGAAGCCATTGTTGGGGAAGTAAAATCCCGTAGCAAACCCAAACAAAAAAGAGAAAATGCAACAAAAAGAAATAGCACCAGCATTTAACATGGAAAAACCTAAAATCGGGAAAGAACTACAGAGCTAAACCCACCAAGAAATTCACTGTGAAAGTTTGGAATAAATAATACAGATCTCTCTTCTCACTCTCTCTCATTGTCTCTCTTCACTCTTACACAATTCTCACACAATAACAAACAAAGAAAATCACATTAAAACTACCAAGGGATGCAACCCTTCATAAAAAATGAGAAAAAAGATGTCCAGCCAACCTTGCAATATCACAGCATCAATTTTGGAGCATCGCAACGCTAGAGTCCGAAGAGACATAGCACTCCGCTCTCTATCTACCTCAAACCAGACAATATAGAGTTGTACGATTGTACAGAAAAAAAAATTCATATGCAAAGCACATGAACCCAAGCAGGGCCCTACAACCCCTCGACGAGCTCAACCGATGGAATTGAGATCCAAGATAGCAATGAAATCCGATTGATCAACACAATCAGATTCCACACAAAACTAAAAGCCATTAGGATTTTCATTAAACAACATCATACAAATTTCCCATATCAAGGCCCACCCAATGTTTGAACCAGATACCACAATTAGAACCATGAAGCTCATGAAAGGAAACGTGTCTTTCAAAGATAACCTATCAGCAATATGACTATTTAAATAATAAATCAGTGTACCAAAGAAACGAATTGGGTTTTACAAAATATATACCTAAACACGATAAGACATTATTGATGTAGTGACCTACTGGATTAACATTAAATGGTGCACTCAAGTCACTCTTATTGTTAACCTTTACTTGCATGTAAATCACATATAGCCCATACAACAAAATCATAAGAATAATATATTGTTATGACAATTTATATAATTTTTAAATATAAAGTAGCTTTATAAATCTATACAAAATATTACAAATCTATATAGTCTTCTTAAATGTGAGAATTTTATATCATATTTGCTGTGTCAAAAAACAAATATATCAATAAAGGGAATGAATAAATTGGAAAAACTAAAATAATAATCTTTTAAAACTCCAATGGCACCCTCTATAAAATATTTTGAAATAACTTTATTAGTTTGACCAGACCTTGAGTAGCCACTTGTCTTTTGCTCCATTTTGAAACTTTTCAAATAGGAGAAAAACATCTCATCCAAGGATTTCTAGTTATAAAATTCATCGTTGAAATACTGTACTTCTCTTTCAAAAAATTTAAATTAAAAAAAAATTATTTCAAAATGGAGTGTTCTCATGGCACATATATTTTTGTTTTTTGTTTTTTTCTCTCTACATTCCTTTACTATATAGTCTATAGATATTAAGTTAATCGAAATGGCTCTTACAGATTAAGTTTTTTCATAGCATTTTGAATTATTAGCCTCCATGCCGAATAAAGAATCGCTGAAGAAATGGTAGCATATTTCTAATTTAGTTGTACCGAGGAAGGGGAAGTTAGATTTGAAGGAGAGCTATAAGATGTAATCGAATGAGTATTGAAAGCACATGAACTTACAAATGTTCTTGAATGAGCACAAAACGCAACAGCTTGTGCAAGCGCATTAAAAAGAGTTCAATATCTTGGCAAAAGCACTTTGAATTTCCAACAATAACAAGAGATGAATATCCTGACGATTAATACAAAAAAAAAACCACAACTTTTCTTTGCATTTTGAGCTCATCATGCGAGGATATATATTTCATCAGCTTGTTTAACAGTGGAACAAATCATTAAAAGCACGCTTAGAGTCAATTGAAAAAATGATTAACTGAAACTTCATAACCTTTCCAAATCTCAATAATATTTTGAAACCTATCCTGATCATGGGCTATGCAGCATATTAAAAAAGAATCACCTGCAATCACTATGATCCAATAACATTTATTGTAAGTTACTTAATTTGTCTTAGCTTTTTTAGCTACACAAATATATTCAGAATAATATTAAGAATGCCTAGCACATGTTTAGAAAATGTGACGATATACTTGCTCTACAAGTAGGCATGTTTCTCTATAAACTGATTCATTATCAATAATAACCTGAATGACATTTGAAGGTCCAACCATCATAATTACCTCTATGATCAAATTAGAAATAAAGAATGTGTCTTTATATTTCCATTCATAGTTGATAAATTTAATGAACATTGGAAAGTTCTTTGTTATAGATTAAAATTGATGAGTGGTGAGTTTGTCAACCCATCACAAATCAAACTAACTCTTTTCTTCTTTCATACTATTTTTTTTAGTTTAAGTGACCTCTCCTTTTGCAATAACTTTGTTCTAATAACATTGTAGGTGGCTGTAACCTGCAATATTTTTATTGCAAGCAAAAGTAAGCACATTCTTGTAGTGAGAATACCTTGCAAGGTTAAAGAAAAGATCACCTAAATAAATCATCATTGTTATTTCTCCATCTAGTTGCTCTCTCACTGCAAATTAAATATTTTTTTTCAAAAGAATTATCTGCAACCGATTTTCTTTTCTTGGAATCATATCGCTCCATCCTAAATGGTCTTTTAATGACATTAACATCATCAGCTTGAATAGAAGAAGATAAGGAAGGACATGAAGTATGAGTACTTCACAACGGTGTCATTTTAGGAAGATCTCTTCTGATCCTTTGCTCATCTTCACTAATTTTCTTTTGCAATTCAATTAACTATGAAAAACTTATTTTAGGAAAACTTTTAATTCCATCACAAACCATTCTTAAAAAAAGGGCTTTTAACTCTGGAGTATGGTCCTTAAGAAGTTGTATTACAGTAATTACATTTGAATGCAATATTACAACCACCTTTAAAAGATTTTCTTAATTTTGTTACAAGAATCCACAAAGAATTGTTATCTTCAATATCAAACTTTGTTGAACCATAACCATTCCCAATTCCACCACCGTTAGAGCTCATTATCCTCTTAAAGAAACTAAAAGGAATATAAGAAAGATAAGTAATTTTAATAAAATAAGCTGAAAACCTCAAAAATTGAATTAATAGACTAGCATGAATAGTAGGGTCAAACGTTTGTGTTCCAAATACAATGCAAAATTTAAATAGTCAATAGCTTTGATGAAAAGTACACTTGGTTACAAATTAGTCTTCCAACAAGCAATCCAAACACGATATCAAATCTGTTACCTTAGACATATTATTTGCTTGCTAGAAATAGAATGGAAATGTTTTTACTTATTTTTTAATTTTCTTTTTAAGGTCAAAAGTGAGTTTTCATTATAAGGTTTAGAAAACCACATTCTTTATTCAACATATAGAAATAGAATAAACATGATATTAATGGGATGTAATATTTTTAATTTACAATAATAACTAAATAAGAGGTTATTGAGAAGGTTTATAATAATGAAATATTGTAAAACAAAAACAAGAATCGAATTTGTAAGAAGTGAGACTGATAAACAAATAGAGCTCACTTTTGAAGATCAACCTAATGAAATTTATTTTTGAAACTCACTTCCACATATTTATGTAGAAATAAGCTGGATCATGTTTTTCCTATGCCAATTGAGTGAGAAGTCCAAAACAAGAAGCATGATCAATATTACTTAAATTCTACATTATTAAATAAGTTACCTTCAACAAGCAACAGCGAAGTAAAACAGTGCCAAACCTTAGAGGACGTCTTCAACTTCTTATGGATGGACTTTATCGCCATCGGGAGTGTAGATGAGAGCGTATGCGGCTACTTAATGATAAGAACATGAGAAATGAGAGGATAACAAACTGGAAATCAAGAAGATGGCAAGATAAATTCGACAAAGCAAACGCAAGCCTCAATCGAATGAGTCTAACACAAACGACAACAAGCGAGCAAGCTTCAATTGAACGTACTGGGCTCATTTGGCCTCGCCTACCTACGAAAATGAAAAAGACGATGAGCACCAACCTTCAATCACTCATTCGGCCTCGCATGCCTGCAGAAACAAAGAAGATGACGAAGACGCAAGCTCCAATCGATATATCAGGCTCGTTCGCCCTCGCTTGCCCATGTAAATGAAAAAGACAATAAAGACGAAGCGATACAGGATAACCCTAGAGCATATGCAGCTATTCAACGAGATATGGGATGAACAACTCATTTTATTTAATTAAAATGACTATTAATATTAAAAGAATTATATTTTAAATAATTTTATCCTGATAAGTGTGTTCGTTAAAACTTAAATATTATTTTAATCAAGTATACTTCGGCCATGTCCTACATGTTTCCAGCTATATCTAACACATGTCTCAGTCGTGTGAGACGAGTGCTCGTGTCCAACACATGTCCTATACTGCATACCTTCTTATGAAGGTGAGTCGGTGCATCATAGAAATTGAGAAATAATAATAACTCAACCAAACTCTTAGGTTGATAAAATCTAAGCACATATCTGAATGGTACTTCTCTAAAGTGCAACATAAGTGTAGTTTGAGCAACCAAGAAGTTCTGAATTTCTGATATTTAAGATTTCATAATCAAAACAAGCGATGAAATGTTAAAGATAGTCACCCAATTCTTCTCTAAAATTTAGAAAGATGTACAAATTTTTCAAAGACCTTTGAGCTTTGGCAAATTATGTGATAAGAAATCACTTGAACTCCAAAAAACTTCTGATGCTTTAAAGAGAAAGGCTTGAGAACCATCTTAATGATACTTCCTTAAATGTTGTGAAAAGTAGATGGCGTTTGATAACATCGCTTAAAGCAGAAAAATTATTGATTCAAATAGAGCAATGCAATTTGTTGGATCTTATTTCTCTTTATAAGATTTAAATATAAGTATTTTTATCATTGGTTAAGGTTGACTTCTTATACTTTGGATAGAAAAAACATGGGTTGACTTAGTGAAGAGTTTTTGGTGAGAAGAAGATCCTTCAATGGAGCATGATGAAGGAACACAAAATCAATGTCAACGGATGAGTTGAAAAAGTTATAAAGTTATATTCTCATACATGACGAATAAGATAGATATTTTGCAAAAGGTTTATGAGATTCCTTAGCTCACATTTGTTAAGCAATCTTCAAGTTGATTTAGTAATTTCAATGTGAAAATTTTTTGTTTCTCTTCTTGCAAGGATCTTTCACTCACATTTGAATGATCCATTGTTTAACTTTTTGTTATAGGCATCATCCACACCCACCGTATTTAGAAGAATGATGGATCCAAATTTGAATGTGGGTGACACCAAAATTTTATTAACAAGTGAACCAAACTAAACAAAAAAAGAGAGTTCATAAAGAGAAGCTCTAGGATTTCAACTGAACTACTAGAAACTAGAAAGTACAAGATTGATCTAAAGAATGAATAAGTAAGGCCCTTCCTCTAACCCTATATTATATAGGCATGGATTAAAGAATAGTACAAAAGGAAAGCCTAAAATTAAGCAATTAAAAAAAACTACAAAGGCATAACATTCATGCTAAAATAAAATAAATCTAACTAGCTAGTAACCTATCAAAGTATAAATAGAGAGCTCATGATGAGCTCCAAGTAAAGAATGATCCTTTGAGAATAAAGCTTTCGGTGGAATCTTCACTGACTTCACTTAGAGCTTCCAAGTAACCTTGATATTTGGGTGAGTTCAAAAGTGAATTGGTGTGCCTAATACAAAAGATCTCAAGGACAAATATAAGATTTGTTGACATTAAATGGACATAATAGTTGATCATCGAATAGATTTGTCGGGTAGCATTGATGAGTCATTAATAAGATCATTAGTACTTTGGCAATTTTAACTTTATGACAAGTTAATTCAATTACTTGACAACTTATTTGAACCTAGTTTAAAATGATTGCGAGATCTGATTAACTTGACCTAGGCAAAGTTAGTAATAAAATTGTACTGGTCATAAGTATGATTTCTCAATATTATTAGAATCCTTAACATTGTTTTCTAATAAAATATTGATACCAAAATACTTATTTTCTATCCATTTGATATGGCATTTATTTTCTAAAATTTTCAAACTAAAATACCAACCCAAGTTCTTAACATCTTAGAATGCAGATCATCTCTAAATCTATAATTTTTTACATTTATGAATCTTCTTCAAGACTAACTCAAGTTCACTATTCAGAATTGTGCTTATTTTAATTTAAGTATTTTAAAAAAATGATTTTTCATCAAACCCTCATTTAATAATTCTCATAATAGCATTCTCATCTAACTTTAATCATTGTAATCATTACCTTTAATTAGCCTTCCCCTCACTTTCATTCATTTTTGTTGAGTTTAGCCTAATGTAACTTTATTATTCATAAACAAATATTTAAGAACCTCCACCCATGTTAAATTGCGTCTATCCATTTTCTATCCTAATCACATGATATTTATTTTATCTACTCATCTAATAGTTGTATTTTGCATCATTCATCAAATATGCACAAACCACCAAACTTTATTTTTACCTATCACATCTTTCAATAAATATAACTCCAACTGTTCCACTAATATAATCACTCCCTAATTTATCTTTTGCCACACTCCATCTTAACATTCTTACTTTGGCTACACTCAACTACCAATCAATTTTTTGCTATCTTACAATCACATCCCTATAATTTTACGAATTTGCAGTATTATAAACTTTATCTTTAAATCTCAAAGATATATTTATCACAAAATACTCTTAGAAACACTTCTCCATTTATGTATTCATAATTAACTAAGCCATGCTAGCATTGCACATCACATCTACGGAGTTGCAAAGCACTAAAAACTAATAAACTAAAAATCATTTAATAAATTTGGAATAAATTTTCTACATGGTCAACCTATCCGGAACACAAGTTCAAAAGCTAAGAATCTCTATTTTCCCTAATGTGTCCTTAGATCCATAAAGGGCTTTTAAATTTAATGTATTTCTCGTAACATCCAAAAAAGAAAGAGGATTAATACAGATCTAAATATAAGCTAGAAGAACAATTCAAATAAACCAAAGGGTTTGAAAGATTTAGTTTCATAATAATTTAAAGCCGGCAGTTTTAACTTCCGAACATTTCAATCAACCAAAGAAAATTATAGAAGAAACATTTATAGCCTTTAAAAAACAAACAACTCAAAATATTTCATTTAACATCAAACCAAGCCATTGCTAAGTGTACATGAAGAGTTCTGTCAGGCTTGGTAACATTACCTTGGATTATATTTAACTTGAAAGATGCTTCCTGTGGAGACAGTGCTTTTCAGGGATGATAGAGTACCAATTTCTAAATTCAAGCTAGCAGGTGTTTGGTGAAAAAGGTTCCCCTTGAGTTGAGAAGCTCTTCGAATGCCCAATCTAAGCTCGCCATCATCACCCCTACAAAACTTAGAAAAGCTGGCTACTAAAAAGATCTTACGTGATGAAGTATAAGCATTTCACCATAATTCTTTGTAAGCCTACCGGAGAAAAAGCACAGCATCCCCTGCAACAAGTTTCTTCTTATGGATAAATGTGCTCCATCCTGTTGTAAGTAGATGTCTACGGGGTTGCCCTGGTAAGATTTTATATGCATTACTTTCATCAGTTCACTTTTTTATAGTATATTTTCATAATAGACGCGATAAAGCAATAGGCATCAACAAAGAAAACTTGGACAAGTTAACTTAGATTACAGATGACATGTGAAACAATGTAAAAGTCAAGAATATGTTTATAGTTTCATCAGCAAATACCTCGGTAGATATGCCGAAACTTCCACTCAACATCATGCAGATCTTTAGCGACAAGCTCTTGAGAAGGTCTTTGCTGTTTGTGATCCTATATCAAAAACATCAAAATATAAAAGGCTCGTCAAGCATCAGAAGAAGAAAATGTTGCAATTATAAGGACTAGGATTTTCAACTATCAATACATGCAATAAAAAACAAATAGCCAATTTACCAGGGGAGGAAAGCAATCTTCAGCAGCGCGGCGTGGAACAGAAAAGCCACCATGTGTGCTAGTGTCTGAGGCAGTGAGGGTCTTGCAAAACATGTGAGGGGTTGGTGATTTATCCCCGCTATTCATCTCATCCAATTCTTCCCCTTCTTTATCTGCTTTCCCATTTTGAAACTGCTTCATGGCCTCCTGCAAAACCAGTAATTTCTCTCAAACAAACTTGAAACTAGTATCTTAACAGGGCGAATCCTTGCGGGAAATACCACGGCTGAACTCATAATCAGAATAAGCGCGAGAAAATAGAGAATAAAGAACTGATTTCAAACAATCTACACCAACATTTTTCGTCAGTGGTCGTGCAGTAAGCAACAACAACAACAACAACATCAAGCCTTTATCCCACTACGTGGGGTCGGCTACATGAATCCTTTTTCTCCATTGTGTCCTATTAAAAGTCAAATTCTCGTTTAAATCTACTAAAGAAAGGTCATTCCTAATACTTTCTAACCAAGTCTTTTTAGGTCTACCCCTACCTTTCTTAACATAAGTCAAATCTAATAGCTCTACTCTCCTAACCGGGTCATCACAAGGCCGCCGTTTTATGTGACCACACCATCTAAGGCGACTTTCTCTAATCTTATCTTCTACTGGAGCTACTCCAACCTTTTCACGTATATGCTCATTTCGTATCCTATCACTAAGGGTAAAGCCACTCATCCACCTGAGCATCCTCATCTCTGCCACACTTAACTTAGTATTATGCTTCTCTTTTAAAGGCCAACATTTGGCACCATAAAGCATTGCAGGCCTCACTACCATCTTATAGAATTTTCCCTTAAATTTGAGGGGTACATTTATATCACATAACAAGCCCGATGCATTCCTCCACTTCAACCATCCAAAATATCCCCATCTATTTCACCATCACTCTGAACAATAGATCCAAGATATCTAAAACATGTACTCTTATTAATGACTTGATCGCCCAAAGTCACAATCCCCTCACTAGGTCTATTAGTACTAAAAATACACTCCATATATTCCGTTTTAGATCTACTCAAGCGAAAACCTTTAGACTCTAAGGTTGACCTCCATAATTTAAGTTTACCTTCTACTCCCTCTCTAGTCTTATCAACAAGAAGAATATCATCAGCAAAAACAATACACCAAGGTACATCCTCTTGCAAATGTCTAGTGAGAACATCCATGACTACAGCAAAAAGATATGGGCTTAAGGCTGATCCTTGATGTAACCCAACCGAAATAGGGAAATACTTGGTCAATCCACCTTGTGTTTGAACACAAGTAATAGCTCCTGCATACATATCTTTAATGTTTGAATATAAGCATTATTGACTCCTTTTTTTTCAAGAACTCTCCATAGCACTTCTCTTGGAACTTTATCATTTGAGTGGTCGTGCAGTAAGCAATTTTAAAAATTTTGTTAATACAGCACTGATTGACCACAAATGCCCTGTTAAAAAAGAAGATTTGTTTGGAATGAAGGGAATAGAGGGAAAAGAAATGAAGGCCTGATAATTTTTGGATTGGTTATGAACATACAACCATAGCTAATTTTTTTTTTTTTTCCTTTCACTCAAATTACTACCATCCAAACGCAAACAAAAAAAGCATCTCTAAACGCGTATAAGAAGCAGAGCTTCACCAAGTACCAAGAGCACAATAAACGCATATGAAAAGCGCCATCTGTAGAAAAAAAAAAAAATCTTCAAAATAAACTAGCATGTAATAAAATCAAATTAGGATGCAAGGAAGCAAGACTAAGTAGAGGGAATGCAAGAAACAACCTTGCTCTCAGCAACCAGAGAGAGCTGCGCGTAGACCACATCAGTCACGGCTTCTGCCTGCAAGAAATAGCATTCCATTTTTGAATCCATCAACACCACAAAATCCTTTGAACTAAAAACGGGGGAAGTGGGGAATACGACGCACTCTCAGCTGTACGTCAACGACCCGACAGAACACATGCGGGGGAACATCGCAACGCATCATCATCCCATTTCCTCCTTTTCCAAGGACCTCCAAGTGCCCCTGCGGCAGGTAAACCACCACGCTTCCCTTTCTCGGCAGAGATATCAACGGCCCTGCACAGGCGTACCACAGCTCGAGACATACTGAACCGGCATCGGCAGCAGAGTGCTCCGCGGACTCATCATTTTGTTCTTGATCAACCGTATTCAGATCGATTCCCATCACACTTATTCGACAGGCCCTCCCTCAACTCACAGAGACAACCAGAAACAAGGAGCAAAAGGACAGAATAACCAGCAGCAAGAGCAATTAGCGGCTTCCAGGAAGTAGTGCCATCAACCTCGCCATGTGAGACGAAAAGGGAGTGGAAGGGGAAGAGTGCTTCACAATTAGGTCTTTCTCCCACTTGAAGAAAGACAATTGGAAATGATCTTGGGAGAAAGAAGGGCTTATTTCCCTTCTCCTATAACATCAGCTTTGCCAAAAGCGAAGGCATCACAAACGACGGGCTAACCATGCCTCTGCAAGCTCTCCCCTTTCAATCCTACTGCTTCTGCACCGAGTTATAGCACTGCTGCTCTCCAGTATTGATCTTTAATCTCGATGCAGAAGAAACATAAGAACAAGCATGGGAAACATCGAGGGAGAGAGTGATGTAACGATTACTTTACTCTTTCCTCTTCGGGAGAGGAGAACGAGATTGTGGGTCCCGCATGCCCACGGCTTCGGACTGCCAAGGAGCAGCTGTTCTGTTGGTGGTGCTGTTGATGCCAGGAGTCCGCGCAGAGGTCAGCTACTATGGGGTAGGGTGGGTTGTGTGGGGAGAGGGAGTCAGCCTTAGGATGTGGCTGGGGACTCAGTTCTTCTATTTTTTTCTTTTTTTTTTTTTGCCCCCCGAAAAATGAAATCCGTAGCTAGTTAATATTATTTTAATTTACGTCTGTTTACTTCAATGGTCTCTGCTGCTTACTTATTGCAGTACAGCAGAAAAGACGTGAAGCCGGTCTGTTTTTCCGGGTGCTGTGTCTCACCGTGGTCTGATTTTTTTTTTTTTTTTCTTACCGGGAATTATTTAATGTGGCATAGGGATATCAATATTTAATATGATTTAAAAATTTCCCATTCATTTGAAAAATAGGTTCGGATTCGAGATTCTAATTTGTTTCAAAAATTGGGTCGGGTTCGGATTGATCCGGCAACCCGAACCAACTCAGGTTGACCCGGCGTCTCGATTTGGTCGCATCTCGTTTTGGCATCGTCTGGTCGAGTCGCTCGTCGCCTTGGTTCGGGTCGAGTTGCTCATTGTCCCGCTGTCCAGCCGTGGAGTCTCTTGTCACCTTGCCTTAGTTTGCATAAGCATCATAGTCATGGGTTGCCTGCAGGCCTCGTATGCCCTTCAGACCTCGACGCCTCGCGACCTAAGAGGCTAAGAATCGCCACTGCATGCCCTCAGACATCGGTCCCTCGCGATTCAATGCTCGTCGTCCCGCTATCTCCACATTACCTAAAACCAACGTCGCGTGAAGGCAGACGCCAATTCTTGTTGTCCTAGGTTATGGGTCGTGTCGGGTTGATCCGGACTAGAAGTGAGTCGGGTTCTGGTCCGAAAAACTGACCCGTTTTCAAAAAGGGTCAGTTATGGGTTGACCCAACTGGTGTCAGGTCCATTCCGGGTTGAATCTGAACCCAACCCGTGACTCAATTTTGATATATAGCCATAGTTGCTAAGACGGGAGTTTTTTTTTTTTTAATTAGGGGTAAATCATTTAGTAAAGAAAAGTTAAAAGCAAAAATATATAAGGAAAAATCAGAAGAGACAATCAATGCTCAAACAAAACAGAGCAAAGGCCCATAAAAACCTAGCCATTGAAGGCATAATCACAAAAATCTACTATGAGGGATCATATGAAAGCATTGAACAATAAGAAAGTAAAATGAAAAAAGAAAAGCATTGTCATGCCAGGACTCATATAAGTAAGCAAAATGATTAATCAGTTGCAATTCAGATACAGGGAGACACCTAGTTTCCCAAAGACTGTCCAAGGGGATACCATGATGGGATATCATCATCGTCCATGGCATCCAAAAATCTCGTTCATAAAAAATAATACTTGAAAGGCCGCAAACCTAACATAGTAATCGTCACATATAGAGGGAAGCAACAGGTAATAACCGAGGCTCATGAACCAGAGACTGGTAGCACCCAAATTTATTCAAGACCAAATAGCAAATTCTTAAATTTCTCCCCATTTTTCCATCCAACAATTTTAACAGAGACAACCTTTCTAATGATAATGTGAATAGTGGTTGTGCTATTAAATTTATTCCCAAATTTTCTATCTTTTATCTCACTCCATATATGATAAACGGAACACCAAAGTATGAGCGGATAAAAACTATACTTTCCATATAATGAATGAGCCACCTTTAGCCAAAAAATCGACCACTTGACAAAGATTTGGTCAAAGGAGGAAAGAATTTAAGCATGAAAGAAGATCGGTGATAATATAGTAAGTGAACTCACACTCAAAGAAGATGTGAGACAAACTTTCAAACTAAGAATTGCAAATATAGCATAAATGATCCACCCAATATTCCTCTTATTTAACACATCAGCAGTTTCAATCCCCCCAACAAAACACGTCCAACCATAAATAAAGTAGCAAAGGGAAATGCTTGTACAAGACTGAATTTTTCCAAGAAAATAGACTATGATCCTTATAAAACTCCCACAAGGAAGAAGTAAAGGTGCCACTATTCACTGAAGTCCATTTCAAACAATCAACACAACCATCTCGAGTAATAGGGATGGAAAAATAGCATTTTTTATTGTAACATGTGGTTCAGAAAGAAGCCTCTAGCCATTAATGTCAAAAAGATCCAAGAGCAATGCTTCAGGGGAAAAAGATCATTTAAGAAGAGTGTGGTGTTGAGGTAAATCAGCCAAACAAACCACATTAGAGAGATAAGATAATTAACAATCACGTTAAAGATGAATTTACCTTTTACCTTTATTGCAGTTTCACATATACTTTTTCACATAGAGGAAGAGACAATAGAAGGAGGTTTCTAAGGAGAGCAGTATCTGAGGACCAACCAAGTCAAAAGAGGAGAGGGGGCATTATACGTCCTTGAAATAATAGAGCAATTAAAAGCAAATCTAAGCCCTAGAATAACTAGAAGTCCCAGGCCCAACAAGCTTTTTCGATTTGCAAGTGTTTGACCAAGATACCATATGCATTTTCTTAGCATTTAAATCCCTAAAAAATAGATATTTAGTTGATAGTTTAGCTATTTGTTTACGATAAAACTTAGTCATAGTGGCACTGCATATCCAATAAGCTTTGTATTGAAAAAAAGTGTATCTAAGGAATTGAAGTATGCCTGCAAAATAAAGATATTTAGCATTCCAATAAGAAAGCTTTTTAATGATAATATCCATAAGAAGTTAGAAGTCGTAGAGATGAACTCTCTTAATAGGGAGAGGGATACCCAAATATGAAATTATGTAGCTGAAGGTAGGAATATTGAGGACAATACATATCTCATTAGCATGAGGGAACTTTTGTTGTATAATAATTGGGCTTTTTTCAAGGTTAAGAGCTAGGCAGTGGAAGATACAAATTTGGATAGAATGCCTTTTAATACATTACATTTTTGCACTATTGCATTCCCAAAAACTAAAAATCATCATCATATAATAAATACGAGAGATTGAAATCATTAATTTGAATGGCTTCAAAGCAAGTCCCATTCACTGTGGAATCCAAAAGACATGATAAAAGCGTCCATAATAATGCAAAATAGATAGGGGCTTAACGAACATCCCTACCTAAGATCCGAATAAGAGAAGAAATACCCCTCCAAGGCCCTATCCACATAAATTGAGAAAATGAACAATCGAGATACATGACTTTACCCAAGCAATAAAGATGGTTCGAACCCCCTTTTGAGCCATCCTCTCAATTAAGAATTCCTTGAAAATGAATTGAAAGCCTTTCTGATATCTAACTTAGAACACATAAAGTTAGAACCCTTGCAATTTTAAAAATACCCTAGAAGTTCAGTAGCAATAATAACATTATCGATATACTCTCTTATTTATAAAAGTAGCCTAAGATGGGTTAATAATGAGCGGCATGATGGGTTTAAATCTAGAAGCCAAGAATTTTGAAATAGTCTAGGAGATGGTGTTTCACAGAGAAATAGGCCAAAAATAAAATATAGAACCAGCAAGATTGTTCTTAGGATTTATGGCAGTGTATGTTTCCTTAACACTTCTAAGAAAGTAGCCTTTCTCAAAAAAAGAATTAACCACTTTACGAAGATATAGGCCAATAATGAGCCATCCAGCCTTATAAAAATTAAAATTGAATCCATCCGAGCTAGGGGAGGAAGAAGAGTCACTCGAGAAAACAACAGCTCTAATATCATCATTAGAGATCGGGTTAAATAGAGTAGGGACAATAGTGATAGGTTAAAGTAGGTGATATTAGGAGTGGGAAGAGTTCATGGGTTATACAAATTCTGAAAGCTGAGTAGGGACAATAGTGATAAGGGAAAGTAGGTGATATTAGGAGTGGGAAGAGTTCATGGGTTATACAAATTCTGAAAGTTGAGCTGTGACATGAATGGAATTCATGGTACTGCCCAAATCACCATCTAAAGCCATAATAATAAAAGTGTCATTGTAATTTTTCCTAATCTAAATTTTAGAGTAAAGGAATTTGAAATTATCTTCACCATTCTTCAACCATTTTGATTTTGCTTTGAATTATCCATGAAGACCAAGATGAGGTAAGATTAGCAATTTTACAATTAAGAGTTTCATGGGAGTTTCTCTTGATCTAAGTACCCAGCGCCTAGAGCACCATGATGATGTCTTGTTGTTGAAGTTTTTTTTTTTGTATATTGCCATAAATTATAAGAAATATATCATTTGAAGTCATAAGTTCATAAAAATGGTATTTTCTTTTAATTATTACATTGGTGACAATCAAATTTTTTTCTTTCTCCCATACCATTTTCTATTAATATTGATTACCAATTTCACTATGACAAAGCTCATTTACCATATTCATGTAGTATCTAAAATAAAAATCAAGATAAAGAGTGATCAAGAGGAATTCAGAGCATTTAGGGAGAGAAATATTAGGACTTAATAATATCATGCATCGTATAAAGTTTGATTATAGTAATTAGGCATACAAAGTGTTCTCACATATGTGATTATATATTACCAAAAAATTACTAAATGATTTTTAGTGATATGATCATTGAAAAAACTAAAATTCCTTCAATCATTGATCTTCATTGATCAATTCAAATGCTAATTCTAAAGCAAGCATTAAATCCATTAGTTGATTGTCCCCAGTGATAGTGATAAGTGTAAATAACATACTATTTTATGTATATTATTTTCAGTGAAAGTTTTGTTTTAGTTATTTATGTGCAGACAAAACTAAAAAATGCAGAAAATTCTAAATAGTCTAAAGCGCCAAAGTGTTTGGTGTAACAATGCCCCAATATCTCACTCGATACTACAGATGTGTCCCAAATTGAACATTATGTTATTGATTTCTTTATTAGAGTAAACAATAATAGTTTGTTGTATGTAAGCATATATTTTCATGGGTTTGATACTCTACTCTATCACTTTATTACTTGATTCAGTACGTATACTTGCTTAGATTAATTGGGGTTTTGTTATTTTTATATCAAAGAAAACTTAAGTCTTATTTAGGGGTGATAGAGTCTGAGATTTTTATACAAATAAAATGTTAACTCCATATCCCCTATTAAAAATCTAAGCATTACATACCCTAAATCCTTTAAATTCATTGATTAAATAAAATTTTA